TTTTTATTTTATTTTAATTCAAAATGGTTACTCAAAAATAGTGTGATAATCAAAAAAACAGTTTTTTCCATCTTTTAAACAAAATGACAATTTGCAAGTGAAGCACTCTATGGTGGATCGAACATCTGTTTCCTTGGTGCTACAATAAGCACATCTTCTCCTTTTGCCTTTCAGAGGCAAATGCATTTCATTGAAAAAATTGAGTACCGTTTTGGATAATGCTAATCGAGACTTATTTTCAGAGGGAGGTCTTCCGCGACTAACTCGTTCACTCCCGGAGTAGAGAGACTTCGCCACTGATACCATGTAGTTCAAGTATGTTAACTTATCTTGAGCTAACTGATTATAACAAATGAATGAGTTGCAGATCGATGCGTTTAGAAAATAAATGAACATTCGCAGCCAGTTCCTTTTAGACTTGCGATCGAGATTATAGCATGATATTCTTTGACCGAGCTGATCAACTCCATGTGAAAACTGATTGTAATCTTTCACTGCTTTCGGACAGTCGATTGTAATACGTTGGCCATTTTTCAAACGACGGGAAATCAGAACAACTTCGTTGTCTTCATGATAATTTGAAGCCAAAAAAACCTGTTTGGTGTCCATCCATATGAAGACAATGCTGTTCGATCGAACCATTGATTTGCAATCTCCTCGTTCCATTTTATTTTTCTTGGCAAAGTCCGATGGAATACCCGCTCGATCTGGTCTGATAGTTCCTCAGGCTTTTATGTTCTGCAGCTTCAGGTTTTCCAATAGTCTGAGAGAAGTGAAAAAGTTATCGAAATATAGATATTTCCCTTGGAAATTATGGCCAGAGATAAGATCGAAAACAACGCGTTCGCCAAAAGATGTTTCTTTCCCACTGGTTTCCTCTTTTCCTAAATAGATTTGAAAGTTGAATAGATAGCCAGTGATTGAAGCACATAAACACCAAACTTTATAACCTCTTTTTATGGGTTTTAGAGGCAAATATTGCTTAAGGCTTGACCTTCCTTTGAATTTTATCATACTTTCGTCTATTGACCCATAGCGGCCAAAGCTATAACTTTTTTGCAAATTTCTCCGTAGAATTTCAGTAAAATTTTTAACTTTGTATATTTTGCTGTACTCTCTGGATCCTCTTTTTGGTTCCAATGAGTTGTCAGCCAAATGTAAATTATAAAAAATTTGAAGAAAACGATTTCTTGACATTATCGAAGAAATAAATGTATTTTGGAATACCATATCGTTACTCCAATAGAGTTTCATATTTGGCAAGTTGTTGATACCCATTAGAATAACCAATCCAAGAAACGATTCAATCTCTTTTTTGCTCACATCCTTCCAGTTACTTTTTTTCTGATGGTTACTTCGTTTTTTTCCTTTCCCATAAATGTTTGTTTGATCAGTAATTAGCTTTAAAATTTCTTCATCAAAAAAGTTTCTAAAGACTGAAACTGGAGTTAGCTCTTTGAGAGATATTGAAGTGAATCCGCTATCCGTGATAGAACTTTCACTCATTGAATTCAGTTCCTCCGCATAAACATCCGAATCTTCGTCGGAAAGTTCGAGTTCATCTAAGTTATCGGCGAGTTCATCGTAATCGAAATCGAAGTCACTCTCGCTAGTATCATCACTGGCATATGAATCGTACGGCTGGTCGTCGAGTTCCATATTTCCATAGGATTCCATCTGGTTAGTTTTTATTGTAGAAACGGTATATAGAAATGATATCCTTGGCAAATTCAAGAACAATGTGAATTCGTCAAGGAGAACGGAAGTATATATATATACCCAAGAGAGACTGAGAATATTCTCGAAAAAGAAAAGATCAGAGAAGAAGAGAGGAACGATGACGTCATTGTACCTTAGCGGCAAGAACAGGGGATATTTCAAAGGAATTTAAACAAGAAAAGGAAGAAAGGAAAAGAAAAGCATGAGATGACACACGCAGTTGTTATGACCTCAATGACGTTAACTGTTCAATAGTTTAATGTGAACTAATGACTTTTTTCCTTAATGAAAAGTAGGTGAGTCGTTTTTGACCCACCGGTCCTCAAAGGGTTAAAAATGTGCAGATTCTTTGAACGCAAAATTTTTGTTTTTCTTCTTAGGAATTACTAAGACTTGCTCAACCATTATTGTTAATATCATTGATATCTTATTTCCAACCATGTTCAACAATGTCTGCGTCAACAGCATGGCTATTAGCAGTTGGAATTATTTTCATGTCAGCATTTTCATCATTTATTTATCATCCGTATTTTTATCAAATACAATTGTGTGCTATACAACTTCGTGTCGCTTATAGTGGTCTCCTTTATCGTAAAGTAAAATATAAATAAATTTTCTGATGTATTTTTCAAAATAGGAAAATTTTTTCTTTCTAATTCTCTCTCTCAAATAAATTAGGTTTTACGTTTATCCAGTAGGTCAACAAATACAATGAGTTCTGGACAAATAATAAATTTATTGTCAAATGATGTCAGTCAGATAGAACCAGCATTGTATTTTATTAATTATATATGGGTAATTGTTCAGTGAAACTGTATCAACTAATGTCATTGACAAATATATCTATGTGATATTTAGGTTGCACCATTAGAAGTTATTATTGTTGTACTAATTTTCTGGCACTTCGTTAAATGGATATCATTTATAGCTATTGGTTATACATTATTTTTATTACTTTCTCAATTTTTTTATGGACAATTATCTATTAGATTAAGAACAAGAATTCTATCAGTAACGGATGAACGTGTTAAAATTATGTCTGAAATAATTAAATCAATGAGAATTGTTAAAATGTATTGTTGGGAAGGACCATTTGAACAACAAATTAAAAATATACGAAAGTATGTCTTCTAGAAGAGAGAGAAAAACATATTTTCAAATACGGGAGTCTAGTTTTCCTCATTTATATGTTTATATATTTATAGAAGAGAAATTATTCAATTATCATATCGTTTGTTATTGAATTGTGTGCAAACCTTATTTAGTCATACATACATATATGTGACGTTTTTAATGATGTATGCAACAATGTGGTCGCTCAATATTCAGTTTGATACAAGATTTTTTGCCATTGCCTCATGTTTATTGGGTTACGTACGTTGGGTCGTTATGGACTGTTTTAATTATGCGATTAGAAATCTTGTACAATATGTAGCAGCGAAAAGACGTATTGAAGTAAGTAATAAAATAGGTTTTATTGATGCTTTTTGAGTTTTTTACGTTTTTTATGAAACATAGTATATTCAAAATTATAGAAAATAATTTAAGTAAAATCATTTTACAAACAGCGAGCTTTCGACACTATCACAGTATCATCATCAGGCGAATGACTGTTTCCGCTCGTGGCGTCCCACAACGTGCCACGCGTGATGATTATACGGTGATAGTGTCGAAAGCTCGCTGTTTGTAAAATGATTTTACTTAAATTATTTTCTATAATTTTGAATATAAAATAGGTTTTGTTTGAGGGTATAAACACTTCAAACTATCGTGCACAGAGTACCAGATTAAAAAAATATTCCAATATACAGTATTATGCACCGAAGTTTTCATCGAAAATTTTGTCTCTTTGTCAGCAAAATTCTTTTCTTAAGAGAGAACATATCCAACTGGCCGATGCCGTTCGATTCCATATTATGTAGTAGGTCTAAGTAGTGGACTAAGAAAAACATAAAAGGATTCGTCCCCATAGCCTATTAGTCAAGAGTTATGACCGTTTTACTGAATTTTCGACCAATTCCGGGGTATTTACCGAAAAAAACAAATTATGGAATTTCGATCTCGAATTTTTGCCCATAGATAGATTTAATGACCATTAGAAGAATATTCTGAAAGTTTCAGCCAAATGAAAGTATATAAAGCTCGCTTCTCACAAACAGGTCACAAAAATCGTATTTACTTGACAATTCAATATCTCAAGAAAAGAAGATTCATTTTGGCTGAAACTTTCAAGATATTCTAATGATCATTAAACGTATCTATGGGCAAAATTCGAGGTCGAAATTCCGTAGTTTGTTTTTTCGGTAAATACCCAGGAATTGGTCAAAAATTCAGTAAAATGGTCATAATTCTTGACTAATAGGATATGGGGATGAATCCTTTTAGGTTTCTCTTAGTCTCATAGAGACCTACCTACACGTAGCCATAATATGGAGTCGAACGACAATGTGTGTGGTATCGAGAAATTGAAAAAAAGTCAGTTTTCTATTCTAAGCAAAAATCTGAAATTTTTGATTGCTACAAGAAAAAAATGTTATTTCCTATCATAATCACTCACTCACTTTGATATCTGTGGGTATTTTAGAGATTCGGAAAACAAAAAATTTCATGTCAGCTTAGTTTTTTGGTAGAGTTGGTCAAATCAACTATACTCATTATGCATATGACATTTAGACGAAAAATAAAATTATGTTCGTTTCTACGAAATTGAGTAATATGGATTTTTTTTAATTTGAATAGATGATCTATACCAGCATACTTAACTATTGATCTGTTTAGAGAAAAATACACAATTCTCTTTTCTTAATCCTGATATATATTTTCTGGTGAAAAAATACTTGGAACGGTGTGATGTACTACGATGAGGAGGCCATTGTGGATATAAAACAAATTTTCAAAAAATTAATTTTGTACGAAATCAAGTCATTCAAAATTCTACAAAAATGAACACAAAAGAAGTTTTTGACTGTAAGACTCGAGTACGGTTTCCAGTTTCGAATGAGAAAGTGAGCGAATGAGCTTTGTCATAGTACGTTTTTAAAATAATGTTCGTATCGCTTGTAAGATAAAAAAAGAAAATTTTTTTTGTCCAGCTAAACCGAACAGAACAGCCCACGTGAATATTTGCGTTTGAAATAACGCGTTTAGATACATCTGCCAGCAAAGCTAAACACGTTTGAAACATAAAATTGTTATATGGGAGACTCCGCAGCAATGTTTCTTTTTGCGCTGGTAATCCCTCTTATTTTCTGTTTGTTTCAGACATTTTTATTAGCAGATGAATCAGAACGGGACGATCGAATTCGATCTCCATCAAATTTAGAATCAGATTTATCATCTGTAGAATTACTACCAAATGTTTCTTCTTCGTCTTATCTATCAACGAATCGAATCGATAAAAATCATTCGCCATCCAGTTTATCATGTCATTTGAAAATAGCACAATGGAAGCAGGATAGTTCATTTGCATTAAAAAATATTGTTTTTGATGCTCATCCAGGTGACCTGGTATATAAGAGTTTATATATATATATTAGTTAAAAAAGACTATATAGATTTATTTTTATTATTTCTTCTAGGTGTGCGTCATCGGACCTGTTGGCTCTGGTAAAAGTTCTCTATTACAAACATTGTCTGGCGAAGTAGCTTATTTTGAAGGAAAAATTCGATTACATAGGACATTCTGCTACGTTCCTCAAGAGTCATGTAAATTTCTTTTTGCTATTTTTTTTATTAAGAACAACAACAACAATGAATTCAGAATTGTTTATTTAGGGATATTTTCATCCTCATTGAAACAAAATATTTTATTTGGGAAAAAATATGACTCAAAATTATTTCAAAAAGTTGTACATGCTTCAGCTTTAGAAGAAGTGAGTAATAATTGCAAACGATTGAATTTAAAATTATGGCGTATGCATTTTTGACATTATTATGTTGTTCTTTTTTTTAAAAAAAGGATTTTCTCCAACTACAACATGGTGAACACACGATAATTGGTGATCAGGGCGTCATGCTAAGCGGAGGACAGAAGGCTCGAGTGAGTAAAAAAAACAAATTATTCTTTATTTACTTATGGTTTGTTCCAACGTCAATCTAAGACTTTTTTAAGGTGAATCTCGCACGCGCTTTGTATCGCGATGCAGACATTTATTTTTTGGATGATCCTTTAAGTGCCGTTGACGTTAAAGTGTCCAATCATTTATTTGAAAAGTATGTTACATATCACTGTAACTATAGTTTAAGAATAAATTTTCATATTTAGATGCATCAAAACATATTTAAAAAATAAAATTTGCATACTTGTTACACACCAAGTACAATTTATAAAAGATGCAACAAAAGTTATAGTTTTAAAAAATGTATGTAGTCGAAGTGTAACGGGTCTTTTCTTCATTTGATGATATGTTTGTAGGGTGAAGCAGTACAACAAGGGATCTATCAAGAATTACTTCAGCATTCAACATCATTTGCAAAACTACTGGAAGATATACATCAACATGAACAGGACACAGCAAGTATAACATCAAATGAAGAGAAAAAACACGTTAGCGTAGGCAAAAATGATAATGATGAAATGGTAATTATAATTTTAATTGTTTTCTTCTCTTTAAAACTAATATTTATCTTTCGGTTACTCTATTTCCATTTTTAGATTGAAATATCCGAACATACATTACAAACTCAATTAAGTAGTTTACAAGAAGATGAACCGAGCCCACCAACACCAACAGACTTTCAACAAGGAGAAACAAAAGCAATTGGAAATGTAAAATTTCGAGATTATTTAGATTATTTTAGAGCCGGTGCAGGCTTGCTTATGGCTTTCATTCTTATATTTGTTATATTTTCGATGCAACAAGCTACTGCTATTTTTTCAAATTGGTGGTTAGTAAAATGGTCAGATGAAGAAAGTTTTCGTCATTCAGTAATACCGAAATCATCCAACTGTAGTTCACCATTATCAAAAGTTGGTTCGAAAATAAAAACTATGTCGGATGCACAATGGCATTTACATCGAAATGAAAAATTTTATATTTATTGTGGTATGTTTCACTACACAAGTTATCGTATAGTATATTTTCTTTTTCTCTTTGTTTTTTTTAGGAATTATTGTTATTCTATTTATAATTACATTGATTCGTATTGTGGCTACCGAGTTTTTATGTTTAAATGCTGCCCGTGTGCTACACGACCGGTAAACTATCTTTAATTCTTTTTACTATGCGATGTAGATAAATATTACAAAATCTTAGAGATAATGAAATTTCAGAAAAGTTAAAAAGTTAGAAATCAGTTCGAATTTTAAGTAGTTATAGCGACAATTTTTGATCGCAGCATATACACTTGAACTGCGCACTCTCTTTCTTCTCTAATATCATCAAGCATCGTTTAACTCTTTCTTCATTTACTTAAAAACTTTCAATAACTTCGAACGTTGCAGAAAAACATAAAGAGGAAACTAAAATAGTGGCAGTGAGAATAGATTTTTTTCTTCTCCACAGATCTCTGCGAGATCTAAGTCTTTTTCACTAGTGGAATCCACCTCTCTCATTCACAAGAATATTTTTAAAGTAGAACTAAATTAAATTTCTCACTTTACAGTGAAAAGAAAAAAAAAAAAAA